ATTATTTTTCAGTGCATGAAAATATCGTGCGGAAAATTTACTTTACCGCACTAGTGCTGAAAAGTTACTTTTCCGCACGATTTTTGTATTGTTGAGAATGAGGAAATTCAGGACAAACTAAATGATCCATGTAACTATTCTGTCTTATGTGTCATTTTGTAGCATCATTATAAAATATTATTTATAGAAAACCTTTTTTTTATATAAATAATATGGACAAAAACACTCCTAGGAAAATCGTTGTACGTAACCCTTGCTGTAAATATTTTTTCCGCCCTCGACGACTTGCCCAAACTCAGCTCCGCGTAGTTCGTGCAACTGCCGTCGAGTGCAGAAAAGTACTGCTTTCCGCACTTGTTAGATAAATAACTATTGTTGATTATTGTATGTCTTAATTTTTTCGCTAGAGGTCACGATTTGCGAATTATTCAAGAACAACTAGAATCCTTAGTATGTTGTTCATCACACTTACCTTCCACTCTACAAAAATTTGCGACTACATGATTTTTTTCTCACATTTTTTGCTCATTTACTGAACTAGTTGTTTTTTCTTGATATGTGAATAACAAAAATATCATTTAATCAAGATAATAATGTCATGCTTATATTTCACAAACTTAAGGATTTATCAACTACTCATATGTTTCAATCTTCAATCAATTGATAGATCCTGATACCATGACCATGTACTAGATACTTATGGAATATAGGATCACATTGTGGATTGCATTGTGATATGAATAATTTTGAAGTGATCACTCCCTTAGTCAAATACAAAGGTAGCTATTTACAAATAGATTACTTTTGACAACTGCACAATTTGACTGATTTTAATAATAAAGTTAGGTACAGAACAAAATGGATACTGGGTACTTCCATATATCCCTCCTTCACTATATATTCTTGAAGATTGAAGAAATTAAAACTTATAGATGCATAAATTGTAGGGTTTTTCTTTCTCTGAGATTATTTTTCATGAGATCGATGAGCATTGCAAAACTGCTCAAAAATACATATTTTTCATTTAAAATGATGATAATAATTATAATAATAATCTTCATTCCAAGGAAATAAAACATCTTACAAAACTACAAAAACCCATGTTACTGAAATAAATGGGCGTCAGGAACAGGTTTCTCAGAGTACATGGAATAATATTATGACTGAATGAAGATAACAAATTACTCTGACTCAAGACACTCTTTCAGTATATTGGTAGTTTCCAAATTTCCAGGGTTGGGCTGATTTAAATCAATTGATTTAAATCAAGATAAAAATCATGATTTAAATCAAGTGCTTTTTTTTTAAATCACAATTTAAATCAAAATAATAATTTCGAAAACATTTATTATTTATTTGAATAATAAAAAATATTAAACTGAAATAAAATAGTACAACCCCTAAAAAAACTGGACATTGAAACATATACTACATATACAGGCTACAGGAATTTTCTTGTACAGACATGTCGGTCGACCCACATCGTCCTACTGAGAATGGCTTTCTTTGTGAATTATGTTTTGTTATACTCAAATTCATGAAATACACAAAATTAAAATAGTTTTGAGTTAAAAAATGGACATGAATGTTGACAGGTACCTATATTTATCGCGCATTAAGACCAAAATCCAAAAAATCCAAAAAATCCAAAAAATCATGATTTTTTTATTTAAATCAATGATTTTTGATTTTTTTAAAAGAAATCAAGATTTGCCCAACCCTGCAAATTTCCCTATTTCTTTTAGAGATAAAACTCAAGTTGATTCAGAAATCTATTGAAAATATTCAATCAATTGTATAGTGCATTATTTTTTTAAATTACCAATCTATAATATGTATTAATTATAGGAGAAATTTATATAATTATTTAATGGCCATTTTTGAAAGGATGTAAGAGACATTCTTACATATACAACCATCAATATTTTCAACTTGGCTCTGAATGACTCTGCATACTTCAATTTATGTAATTTCAAGAAACCTTTTTTGGACTCTGAATATGTGCTCAATTCCAATACTACAACCATAAAACAATACACCAAATTCACAAATTGAAAACAAGAATCAAAGTTGGCATGATATACAACCTTCAGTGCAGATAACAGAATACACTCTACATTCAGTCAATATTGAAATCCTCTCATTCATCACATTATTTCATAAATGATGATGTATAGTTATGACAAATTATGTATTCAATATTTCTGAAAATAGAAAAATGGGAGGTTCCAATATGATGCATACATGTCTTACACTGTTTTCCATTTGACAATCATCAAGATTTGCCTTTTGACCATGGAAGGAGACACATGGCGTCTCCAGGTCAAAAGTCAGGTTAATGTGTGTGCAAGTCTTTAATTTTTCTAATTACCTGATCTGGATTAAAATCCAATATTTATTGTGAAGTTTAATAAGTGTGTGTGAAAATTATAAAGCCCTTTTATCTCTACGCCGGTATAGAGGCCGGATGGTGACGGATTCACCGGATAAAGGGGCCATACTTGAAATCAAACGTGCTCAGCATGAGCACATATGATAGAATCTTTGGACACTGATGAACTCGGCTGCCGGGCATGGTGACGGACTACGGTGTCTTTAGTGCTCGAGTCGTGTGACAATATATTTATTACATAACCATATATATATATTCTTGAAAAAATTAATTACCTGATCTGGAGAAATTGTTACCGAAAGGTGACAGAAATCCAATAAACCCAAAAGAAGAAGAAGAAGACAATCATCAATGTTTGTTCAACTCAACCACTGTATGTATCAATAATGTTTGTATCATACTCTTTATTGCATATTTTTGTATATTGCTTGTTAATTTGTTCCTTTAAATGTATTATGTCCATTGGAAAATAAAGATTATCATTATTATTATTATCCACATTAACAAGAACCTATAATTTGATAATCTGTAGCAGCTTTTCAATGTTCATTTGTGTGTTCTCAATTATATTTCCAGATGATTCAATGTAAACCCTACAATTTGCATTAAATTATCTTTCTCTATACAGAGTGAGTCATTAGTGTGGCAAAGTGAGATAATGGCTTTACAGTTTGATATAGATAGACAAAAGTTCCAGAGATGATCTAGGATCATGAGCAGCACATTTCCAAATTATTTCGCTTTATACAGGGTGACTCATAAATGTGTGGCGTATCAAATTTATACTGTTTCCTCGACTTTTTCGTATGGGACACCCTGTATTTCATTGCATTTTCGCATTCTCCTTTGTGAGCTGATTTCATCAATGCTTCACACTTGGGGTCTAGCGAGAATGATTACAGAGATATAGGGTGCTCAAAATTGAGATTTTTCAACTTAAGGATTTTTTTTGCATCGAAACCATTCATTATTGGTCAAAACAGCCTTCATGTCCCTATCCCAACTTTTGATTTACTATCTACTGACATTTAATTGGAACAAATACAGGGTGGTTCAAGATTCTGCATTCTGATCACTCTTGTATCTGTTCCAATTAAATATCAGTAGATAGTAAATCAAAAGTTGGGATAGGAACATGAAAGCCGTTTTGACCAATAATGAATAGTTTGGATGCAAAAAAATTCTGAAGTTGAAAAATCTGGATTTTGAACACCCTATATTTCTGTAATCAGCAAAAAAATTCTAGAGTTGAAAAATCTGGATTTTGAACACCCTATATTTCTGTTATCATTCTCCCTAGATCCCAAGTGTGATGCAATTATGAAATCAGCTCACAAAGGAGAATGCAAAAATACAATGAAATACAGGGTGTCCCATAAGAAAAAGTATAACATCAATACACCATGCATTTCTGAGTTACCCTGTATAGAGCGAAATAATTTGGATATGTGCTGCTCATGATTCTAGATCATCTCTGAAATTTTTATTCATCTATCTCAAATAGTAAACCGGTTATCTCACTTTGCCACACTAAGGACTCACCCTGTATAGCTAGATACAGTGAGTATGGAACAAATTCATTAAAATATCCCAATTCATTTCTAAAATTCAAAAATTCCAAATTTTCTAAATTACTAAATTCTGATTTATTTTGTTTTTGAATTGTAAGCTGTGGTTTCTAGTGAGCCTATCCCTAAAAAATTGAGGCAACAGAAAGAAGTTAAACCTGGGAATCAGATATTATGAGTTTAAATTGTGTCATAACATCAATCATTTATAAAATGTCCATTCAAGAGAATTAACATCTCTGAAACTATCAGCCCAAAAGGTATACATTTTCATATTGCTGAGTTTTTTAATCTATTTGATTCTTCAAGAATGGGTGAGTATAGAAAAAATGCCATATCATAGCTTCTACAAAAATAGTGGTACAACAGAAAATTGCAGATCAAAATGTGCTGAATTGAAGAACTAAAGCTACAAGAAGTGTTAAGGGAAAAAATGAAATTAAGATTTCTAATGACTGGTTCATACTTTTGCTGGTCAATGTATATCCAGAAAATGGAAACTGCAAGGCAGCAAAATAAATGAAAGCACCAGGTACATATCTACCTACAATCCAAAAAGATGGTAGTATCATAGAAATACAATACAAGATAGTGTTGATATTTCAATGATTTCATTATTAGAAGAAAGAGATCATAGTGAAGTTTAACCTAGATAAGATTCACACAACTAAATCCTGATTGTCCATTCATCAACAGCTAGTATAATAATATGAGCTTGCAAGTGCACTTGTGAACCATAGATAAACAGGTGAATAAACCTTTTGATTGTCCATTCTCAGATTGCAGAAATGGTAGAATAACCCATTATCACTTGTTAGGTTTTTTAATAGCTAATACTATGAATAATCTGGAATGACATGACACTAATATACCTGATAAATTAAGCTCTGCTTGTGCCTTCATGTTCCATTTGTAAGATCTATAATGTTTATTGGTGAGCATCCTACAAGTCATTCTATTTCAATGAGAAGCAACAAGTTCTCAGTTAAATACTTGAAAGGATCAAGAGTACAGTCATAAACTTTCTATAAGCAACTAACCTGAATAGCATGTGCCCTAGCTCTATGGCGAGCTCCCATATCTCTGTAGCATGATGTTACTGCTCCAGAAACACTGAGGTCACGATATTCCCTGTACATATTGTGTGTGCCAGATCTGGAATCATACCTGAGCCAAATACCAAAGTTCTTGATTCTTATGGGCGATTTTTCTGGTACCAATTTGACAGAAACAATCTCACCAGTAGATTTCTTGAATTTTTTCAGTTGTCTCAGAAAATACCAGAAACGAGACTTAGCTACAATTTGATCTGGTGCAAATATTCTCATTCTGTATAAAGGAGTATCTCGCTCCTTTTCGGTAGGAAGCTTGCGCCCGATGACTTCATATTCCTTCAACTGGAAAAAGAGAGAATACCTATATTATAATATGTGAAATACGAATTTTTCATTCAAGCTTAGGCACATGTGTGTACTTGATATGACTTTCATTTGTTCAGTTGAAACTTCGATTTAAACTTTTCATACAATCAATGTGAACGAACAAGCATATTTCAAATCAATGTTTTTCGTTCTGAAGTTTGAAAATTCCCTATGAAATAAAATGAAAAATTTTACTAACCTCTCCTTTTGCTTCTTCTTCTTCTTCTTCTTTTGGGTTTATTGGATTTCTGTCACCTTTCGGTAACAATTTCTCCAGATCAGGTAATTAATTTTTTCAAGAATATATATATGGTTATGTAATAATATATTGTCACTCGACTCGAGCACTAAAGACACCGTAGTCCGTCACCATGCCCGGCAGCCGAGTTCATCAATGTCCAAAGATTCTATCGTATGTGCTCATGCTGAGCACGTTTGATTTCAAGTATGGCCCCTTTATCCGGTGAATCCGTCACCATCCGGCCTCTATACCGGCGTAGAGATAAAAGGGCTTTATAATTTTCACACACACTTATTAAACTTCACAATAAATATTGGATTTTAATCCAGATCAGGTAATTAGAAAAATTATGGACTTGCACACACATTAACCTGACTTTTGACCTGGAGACGCCATGTGTCTCCTTCCATGGTCAAAAGGCGAATCCTCCTTTTGCTTTCATGGCTGCGGTTTTGACGGAAAAGAAAGGAAAAGGAAATAGATCTTCAACCCATCAACAGGGCAGCCACCACACATTTACAAAACTATGAAAAATATAACTTTTCATTGTACCAACAAGTGGATCGTGCCAGGAGGCTTTCGTTGGCGTTGCTGCTGCTGGCTGCCGCCGCAGCTTCATTAGCTAAGCGCTGTTCACATTTGAATAATTTAAAGAAGTTTCCATGTTATGCTCAACACCGCAATATCGAAACTTCTTTCTCTGTCACACCCATATGAGAACTTCGAATGCAAATAATAATATCTTCGTAATCGTTTGAATTAACCTCATCAAAACCGATATCATTGAATTCGTTATGATAATCCACAGATGCCGATAAACATCTCAGATAACCCAAACCGATTAGGGAAGAAAACACAGGGTGTCCCATTCGAACATCGAAAGTTGAGGTCATTTCCGGTTGAACCAGAAGTACGGCAAAGCAAATATATACAGTGTGACCCACTTAAGACCGGAGCACCCTTATAAAATCTATAGTGTTTAACCAATTTCTTTTTTTTTTGTTTCAGCAGAAGGACTATCCTGAGATCTACGATTACACAAATTTGCAAAATGTAATTTCAATCTACAGGGCATACTATATTATTTTTTTCATGTTAAAAATTGCGAAATATCATTAGAGATTTTTTCAAAAAAAAAAAATCGACCCCACCACTGAATTCAGCATCCTTCAATTAGGTTGAAAGATATCAATTGGCAACAAAGTTGTGACAACATTAATTTTGATTGCTCACCATTTTTTATGAATATTTCAGACAAATTCTGAGAGGCGGCAACATTGTCAACACAAATGTTGGAAATCATCAAGGTTTCTGGTGAACATTTGAATTGATAACACAAATTATTATCGAGTTATAACATCTGAAATGGAATTTATCTTGGTATTCATGGAAAGATTCATAAAATGAAAAATTCATAACGTCGAGAAATCGGCCTTGTTCATCCAAGAAATTATAGTTAGAAAATCGGATAGTCTGTATAGTGAGATAATATCAGAAGCCAAAAACATCAAGAGCTTTCAGAAATTGTTGGTTTACATTGATAATTAACTTATTATGAAAAGCTGTTTTCCCGACTTCATTACTTCATTTCAAGAAGGTACCATATTCTAGAGATTATGACTCGATAATAATCAGTATTATCAATTCAAATGTATACCAGGAACCTCAATCTCAATGATTTTCAACATTTGTGTTGACAATGTTGCCGTTTCTCAGAATTTGTCTGAAATATTCATGAAAAATGGTGATCAATCAAAATTAATGTTGTTATAACTTTGTTGACAATTGAAATTTTTCAATGAAATTTTGCGCTCAACCTAATTGAAGGATGCTGAATTCAGTGGTGGGGTCGATTTTGTTTTAAAAACATCGCTAATGATATTTCGCAATTTTTAACATGAAAAAAATAATATAGTATGCCCTGTAGATTGAAATTTTATTTTGCAAATTTGTGTAAGCGTAGATCTCCATATAGTCCTTCCACTGAAACGAAAAAAAGAAGAAATCGGTCAAAAAATATAGATTTTATGAGGGTGCTCCGGTCTTAAGTGTCAAAAAATATCGAGTGAACCATAATTCACAACTCCCAAATTTCGGTTCGTTCACATTATAGAAAGTACGTCATGGTGGTGTCAGAAACTGCTGATTGACGTCTCTGACGAGAAATCATCAATTGATGGGTACGTCCCAGTGACGTGACCATAAGTCATCTGATTGCCTGGGTTGTAAAAGATGGGTGGCGGAAATTTGATCGAAACACAAATGAAAGAAAAACATTTGATGGAAGTCATTTGATCGAAAATATTTTTCATAGAAACGCATTTGATCGAATGTTTTAATAAAGAAAATACATTTGATAGAAACATCATTAATAGATAATTCAACTGATCGAATCATCATCTGATAGAAAATACTGCTTATGGAAACAGCAATATATAGACAGAAAAAAACATTTGATAGACTACAAATCGAGGTGACATAGGTAGAATTTAATAAACTGGAAAAAAACTACAAAATTGATATCAGAAACTGAATATTGGGAGCCACAGCTTCTACGTATTGTGAGAAATAAATATCGAAACAGCATTTAAAAGAAAATACGATCGATCGGATCATCATCTGATAAAAAATACAGTGTATGGAAACAGTATTAGACAGGAAAAACATTTGATAGACTACAAATCGAGTTAACATAACGTAGTATTTGATGAACAAAAAAAACAACTACAAAATTGATTCCAGAAACTGAATATTAGAAGCAACAGCTTTCACGTGTTGTTAAACATAAACATCGGTGTCTTCGAACTCTTTTTGACATCGCCTAACAACTATAGCAAGTCGCTTATTTTTATCCTAATTTTTATCGTAATTTTTCGTTCTTTCTTGTACTTCAACACTCCCACAAATTTTTTGTTGCAGTTTCAGTTCCACCATGCTTTGTTCTCGAAGAAGTCCTTTTATAAATCTCCAGATAAATGGTTTTTTCGCATCGAATTGTCCAAAATTTCTATGCCATCCTTCAATGACGTTATTAGTTTTGTGACGATTTTCAAGGGTTTATTAGTAGAAATTCGAAAGTTTGTGATCAAAACTATGCTGTTCTCTCTTTCACTCTTACAATTTTCTCTATCCGCGTATCCTCAAAATAGTTGAAAAAATCCATAGCGTCTTCACGAATGACATTATTTTTGGAATTTACTTCAGAAGTTCTCACAACGAAGTGTAATGGTACGGAGGCTATCGCTGCTAAAAGTTCGATTTCCAGTTGAAAATCTGCATCATACTGCCTTTTGAGCCTATGTCTTTGAATTTTTCGATATAGACACTCTTTGTTGGAGTGAAAAAAAAACATCCATGATTTTCAGCCAATGAAAAAGTGATTGACAAGCCTTCATTGCTGCTAACTCAGAATCTGTTGTGATTGTTGTAATTTCTATTATTTTTAATTACATTCGCAATTGCTCAAATACTTTCGAATACATGTTTGCTGTCTTTAAAGTGAGCAATATATACATAAACTAAGGGATAGTTTTTTCCACTTATACTCCCATGTACTGTTTACAAATGGTAAAACAGCTCGGGTACAATAAAAAAAGTACCGTCCATATGCCAGAGGAAGTGGATTTTTCGGGAAGATCAAGATTTTGTTTCCCAAATGAAATAAGCATGTCTTCAATAGATTGTGAATGAAAAATAACAACATTTCCACCTTTCAATGGAACAGTTGGACCAATATTTTCATTTTCTCTGGTAGTCCTAATACTACGGCCCAGGCTTGAAATTGATTGCATTTCAAAAGACGCAGCTTCGCTTAATCCAGCACTATGTCTTGAAATTATACCTCTAGGAGCATATCTGCTTGTCCCTGCTTTTTTTTTCATCTCATTAATTCATTTCCTCACATCCGATTTCATTACCGAGCCTTCGTGATTGTGTTCCTCTCCAACTATGCGACAAGAACATCTTGATTTTCGCCATTCCTCATACCGCCAATAGGACTCAACATGATTAGTTTTCTCCTTGATGTAAAAATACCCATCATGACAGAGATTTTTTTTGTGGTATCAATGAATTCATAATCTTTGATATCCATCCAGGATAAGAATTTGATTGATAAGTCAATTGATAACAAGAATTGACATTTCAGACTCTGGCAACGAATAACAAATTGAACATATCAACAATCAAACGTTGTTTCTATCATATGTATTTTTTTATCAAATGCTGTTTCGATCAATTGTATTTTATCGAATGATATTTCTATCAAGTGTGTTTTCTATCAAATGCTGTTTCTATCAGATGTATTTTAACCATGAAACATTCGATTTTTTGATTTTCGATCGAAAGACATCAAATGTTTTTCTATAATTTGTGTTCCGATCAAATTTCCGCCACCCGTAAAAGATTTCCCCTTTCTTCCTCCTGCTGCGTGCTGCGTGCGGCATACATCAAAAACTCAATAACAGCTGATTTGTTTTCCATTTGACATTATTCCTGATGTGACTTGTTTTTATGTGTAGGAAATCAGGTACTTTTGATAAACTTGGTATTTTTCAATAAGGTTCGCTAATCTATCTGTGGTAGAATGATATAAAATGAAATTGAAATTATACTTTTTAGGAACGTTCATTCAGGCAGAATTTCAGATTAGACTGTTGAGAAAAAGTAGTCTCGGTAATTTTTTTTATATACATTTTAGAAATGATAGGTTCATTTAGGCCGAGCTAAGGTTGGATTGCTTGAAAAAAGTTGAATCCTTCATTTATTATGCAAAAAGGATATGTTCTTACAATCAACTATGTAGAAAGCACAAAGCACACAACTGTGTTATGTTAGAAGTTGCTCATCACTTCAATCTAGCTGAAAAACTGGATTACTTGAATGCCTGTCACAAATATTCATCAATTTTAAACACGACGCGGCGACCGCGACAGTATAGTTTGGACACAGAAATGACAACTGTCAGAGTTTTTGAGTGTTTAGATTTATCAAGTTACACACCTTGTATTGTCACAAGAGCACCATAGTCGTCTTGCGCCTTTTTATTCAAAATTGTTCGGGAATTCTGGAGAGAATTGATTTCATCAATAAACTTTTTCAAAGGAAATAACGAAGGAAATATCAAAACTCACTTATGGAAGAAATGTTTGAAACGATCTAGCGATGAAAAATCAATTTGAAGACAGGCAAAATCTGCCGGGTACATACATTGAAATGTCTTTTTTATAGCAGCAGATCAGAATGAAACAATATTTCAGGTCCATTCTCAAACAGAAGATTTTAAGATCCGTTTGAGAGAATCTGCTGTTCCATCCAATTACAGAACATACTATTTCCTGAAAAATCTATTATTATCATCACATAAAATGCAAAACAAAATTATCATGGGGAAAGAGGAATTGATTGCAAAACTACGTGATGAAATCGAAAATTTGAGAACGAAACTGAGGAAATCAAGGAAACTGCAACGTGATTTATCATTGAATGGCGTTCTCAATATCGACCGAACTAGCAATAAGTATATCCATATCTGTCTATTTTGTCATGTTGTTCTGCAAAGTGCCGTTATTGCTATAAATTGAATTTTGCCCTATTTCTATTGTCCATCTACGGCTATGATTGATTTGACTGAAAACCTAACCTCTAAAATTGTATCTGACAATCAGGTCGCGTGCAAGATCTGTCAGATGACCGACTCTGGAGGTCAAACAACACAAAATAACCTCACTTTGCCTATTTGTTTTCGAGCGATCGGAAATAGTTTTTTACTATTATTTGTGATTCTTGGGATATTTATTTATTGAAGCATTCCATGACATTGCGCTGTTGTACAATGCACAAAAAATGCAACGAGAGACGGAGGAAAACAGATTATACAGGTGAATTGTTATCCATAAGTACTGTGGTCACTCACAAAGTTTTCATTTCAAGATTTTGTGACATCTTTTCGGAATATCCTTCTACAATAGGAGCTGATAGAGTGAAAATGTCTACCAACATACAAGACCATAGTAATTCTGTCATTTCTCTTTAGAATTACTTGAATGTCTACACAACTAACACGACCATATTCCTTCGTCTCTCACTTCATTTTTTGTGCATTGTACAACAGTACAATGTGATGGCATGTTTGAATGAATGAGTATCACACGAAACGCGATTCTATGCCGAAATAGTTGTGAATGACTATCTCAACAAATAAAAAAAAGTAAGGTTAGTGAGATTTTTTGCCTCCAGCCAGTCATCTGACAGTTTGTGCACGTCGCGTGCATTAGGAAAATTGAAAAGACAAATAGCAGAATATATGTCTTATTCTTTTATTCATTCAAACCATTGTAATTTGGGAAATAGAAAAGGACAGGAGTTCAGCTGTTTCCGAAATTGTCCGAACTCTTATCTGCTAATCATGATGAAAATAGACTATCCTCCTTTCTGCTAATACTATCCAGTGACTCTAGTCCACGCGTACACAGCAGAGCAGAATGTTACCAGTTCCGGATCTGCTGTGAGACTTGTTTTTGTGCAGCACCCATTGGCAACACTGATCACTGATCACTGTCAACTGTCAAGTGTCACTGGTTGTGTTGAGACATGAGTGACATGACATCGAGTAGACGTTAGGTTATATTATGAAACATTTTTGAATATTAATAATTATTATATTAAAATAAATGTTATCACTATCGTCATTTCAACATAACAAATTTCAAATTATGATAATAGGAAGTTTCATAGATATGCGAGAATTCTAGTCGTTTCAATTTTCTTCTGGAAACTCACTTTTCCAAGTCCTGGACAAATGTTTGATTATTGTATATTGTATTGTTGTGACTGTGACCTACCTACCTATTTTTTAATTTATTTCTGCAACAATTAATTATGCATGTAGAGAGTAGGTACTACAAAGTATAAATATATTTTCATATTCAGATTTCTAATCTAGTAAACAGAAGGTGTCAGAAGTAAAAATGTTAGGAGGAAGATTGCACTCAGTTATGAAATATTCCCTAGCTGCTGGTTTGATTGGAGGAACTGCATTAAGTCTAAGAGGTAATCAGTACCAACTTGATTCCATAGGAATAGTTCGCCTTAGTAGAGCTGCCTCAACAGTATTTCAAATTGGTATAATCTACAAAATAGATTTGTATGGTCAACATTTGGATAAAAAATCCATTGAATATACAGAACTGAAGTCAGTGTGCCACAAAAGAGCTGCTGAGAAACTGTTGAAGTTATGCTGTACCAATAAGGGAGTGTATATCAAAGTTGGCCAACATATAGCAGCTCTAGAGTACTTGTTACCATCAGAATATGTAGAAACTATGAAAGTTTTGCACTGTCATGCTCCTACTAATGAAATAGAAGAAGTCTACAAAGTTATCAAGGAAGATTTGAAGAAAGATGTAAGTTTCTAGGTGAGGATGGAAATATATACCCTTATAAAATCAACATTTCATATTTTTGCTAAAAATAATTTCAAATACCAGACCACACTAGAATTTATTTTAGTGAAATGTTGATTAAACCACTTCATTCAGAAGCCATCAATTATTAGGATAATAAGAATAACTGCAGAGTCTCATGAAAAAACTAATTTGTGAAATAGTTATAACCCCAGTTTCAGAAAATTACTGAAATATTTCACAGGAACTGAGATTAATCAGTAAACATGTGTTCTATCAAATTAATGTATTTTTAAAGAACATCATTTGTTAACTGATTCAGTTCAGATTCAGTGAAATATCAATTGATATCCTGATATATAGGCTCATAATATATAGGTATTATAATAGCTGGAATACCAGAGGAAATACCTTCCTGTGTCCATGATAAGAATGTCATATTTTCAGCCGTGGAGACCTCCTAAAAACCTGCCTAGATTTGATAAAGTTAAAATACACAGACTGAGGTTTGGAAACACTGCATTAACACATGCTTTTCTCCTTGATGGACAAGATCCTCCAATATGCCATCCCTGTTGTGAATCGGTAACAGTATCACATATCATATGCATGTATAGGGGATACTTGAATATTAGGCAACTCTATCATATAGAAAATAATTTTGCAATGAATTTCAGAAACGCCACCATGATCAGAAACCTCCTTAAATTCCTGAGAGCAACTGACCTCTTTAAACAAATTTGAATATATGATGAATATATTCTGGAATATATTTTTTCATACAGGAATCTCAGTTTTTTTTTCTAAAGTATGGTGCTAATGATCTCTGAAATGGATGCACCTTAATCAAGGAAAAAAAAAAGAATGTCATATTAAGAACTTGAAGACAACAATAGGACCATATTCATAAAATTATAATATTTCTGAAATTATGAATAATTTCCTCAATATTTCAAAAACATTCATTCTTTCCATAATTTTTCTCCTTGTCCTCCTTTCAATTCTAGAACAGACTGTAGACAGAGGGTAGAACTTATCTTCACTTCAACATTTTTCATAATTAGTTTCATAAGCTTGCTCAGGAAAATCCAGCTTTCACTGTCCATTATTTCATTCTTGAAATAGAGAGAGAGATACATTTTATTAAACCAATAGAAATTTTACAAGTTAGTCCTTTCTCCAACAATTTTGAATTATGGTTAAGCTAGTTAATAAACAATCTGCAAGATAAACAATTACAGAGGTAGGTATTTGAAAAAAAGAAGCTTATTTCAACTCAAACTACAGTATTGGAGAACCATTTATATAAGAGGGGAATACAATGTACAAGGTGTCACCCTTAAAATATGCTGGATTTTGCTACACCTTTAATGTTTACATCTTGGTTTACATTCATTTAGTATGGGCTAGTTCAGAAAAGTTTTTTCTTTTTTTTCATGAATATCATCATTGAAGAATATTTAATATATGAAGGGAGCTCATTGGACTAAGTGACACCCATGATAAATATTGAGTTTCATCATCTCAATTTGGAATTGCTTAAACACTGAAACATTTTCAAACTGTCACAAGTGCTACATCAAACATAACTAATTCTTCTTCCCGAAAAATATTATTTTGATAAATATTCTCTTAACAAAAGCCAATAATGTGTGTCAATTCTTGTCTTTTGATATTTACATCTATCAGGAGGGGTTGACCACAGCCTGAATAGTGTAAAAAAAATTCCTTTCCTCTGATTATTTCCTTCATTTCTTTCATTTCCTATTCATTTCCCAAAAATTCCTCTAATTCCTCACAATTCCTCAAAATTCCTCTAATTCCGAGGGGTAAATCTCCTTGGAAGTCTGGTGTACACTCCGTTGGAAGTCTTTGGAATTCTTTGGATGTCTTTGGAACTCTTTGAATGTTTTTGGAAGTCTTTGGATGTCTTTGGAAGTCTTTGGATGTCTTTGCAAGTCTTTGGATGTCTTTGGAAGTATTTGGGAGTATTTGGGAGTATTTAGAAGTCTTTGGAAGTCTTTGGTCATTGGAAGTCTGGTGTACACATTTTTCCTGGAGATTTACCCCTCGTCTAATTCACATCCATTTCCTTCATTTCCTCCTTAATTCCTCGCATTTCCCCAAACTGCCTCTATTTCCCATGCATTTCCTTCATTCACAATTTATTTCGTAAACATTCCTCTGAGTCTTCGCATTTCCCCGAGTTTCCTCCATTTTTCTGTTGTTTCCTTTCATTCAAAAAGACCAGAATCAGAGGTCAAGGGCGCAATTAATTGAATAAATTTCATATTGTAATTTCATCCATTACCGCTTCATAGGTATATTCTGAAAATTATTCAAGAATCTTTTTTGAGTTCCAAGAATTTAATACACTGCACTGTTTTACCACTAACCAAACCGATTTTTTAACGCCTCGACACGTGTTTCGCTAACTATGTTAGCATCTTCAGGAGAAGATTAAAACTAAATATCCTATTCTAGTGTGCTGCTTATATACTAGGTATCTGTTCACCCAACTGTGAAAAATACTAACCGTCAAGTTAATGTTTGTCATGACACATTAGCTTGACTAGTATAGTATAGTATCCAACCATATTGGATCCGTCATCTTGAATTTTTTCGAAAGAATCATGATATTCGACCACGAAACAAATTTGAATAGATTCAGATCATAATTACAAAACTCGACCGGCATATTGGATATTTTGACAGGAGACCACAGGGACCAACAATTCGATATTATTAAATGTAATATTTTATTCAACATTGTTGTTAAATGTTAAAATAGCCTTGGCTGAATTTCCCCAAATAAAGACGATTTTTTATTATTATTATATTGAATAGTTAGTATTTTTGTCATATGTGTTATTCAAAGCCCCCCAACCAAGGGATGGGATTTTGGAGGTTTTTTTTATCTCTTGAAGCACACGAAAGGAAATTTCCTCGGAAATTTCATTAATGTGTATAAAAACAATATTTTGTATTCATTGAATTTCTAACCCCTGGTAATTCGTAAAATTTGTGTAATTGTGTACCTCTACTTCAAAGCTGGAAACTATCAACCTCCCCAGAAATCGAAAATTGTACGGGGCTAAGTAGAACGGGACCTACACTTTGAAGCGGAATCCGAACTACTTCTAAGGAAGCCGATAAACGGACAGGATTGATATCATTACCACCGCCTTCAACCAAAAAATTAATTCACCTGCCAGGTTCAAACTGTCGTCATTTTGGACACTAATAAATAGACAGCATACTAGATTAGGCAGCAAACGAGCGATAATGGCGTCTTCCCCAATTTCTCTTAAATGCCCCGAAATTCCTCATTCATTTCCTCAAAATTCCCCGAAATTCCTCGAAATTCCTCGAAATTCCCCGAAATTCCCCGATATTTCCCGAAATTCCACAAAATTCCTCCATTTCCTCGTTATTTCCCACGGAGTGTACGAAAAATTCCTTTGTGGTTAACCCCTCGATCTATCATATCAAAATTGCAAATTATATGGTGAAAGTGGTTTTGTTCATTTCAATAAAAGCCAAAACTGCAAATTTCAAATTAAATAATATTTCAATATTGCAAAATGAGGAAGCATAGCAAATCCTCAGTAACTGTACCAGTAAGAATAATAATAATAATAATAATAATGATAAATGCTTTTATTGAGAGGTTACATACAAGTACAGAAAACCTAACAAGAGGCAGGATTCAATATCTGCGCATGAAAAATTCATGGCAGAGCTTGCTTGAGCTTGAGTTAACTCCAAAACATGCATTTTCACAGCAATTATGAGAATGAGGAAAGCAGCAGAAGTTTTTCTGTTTTGTTTTGAGTGGTGCCAATTGATTTTTCTTGATACAGTAGCTCAAAAGCTCTACATCCTCATATACATTATTTTAGGATTCATCTTCTCTATAGCCTACTTTTTCAACGTTTTTTAACAGGACCCAAAAAATGACAAAAGCATATAACATACATCTCACATAATAACCCAAAATCATCTCCACAACTTTTATTTCAATATATCAAAAATCATTCATAAGAGAACATGTTTCTGGCCTATACAGGGTATTCCATGTGACTCGATGCCCACAGCTCAAGGGCATATTCTTTCAACAATTTCAAGTCCAAAGTGTCCTATACACTTTCGCTCAAAACTCTATAGTTGAGGATTAATGAGCAGTATTGAATTTAACAAAGTGTGCAATGAAGCAAAGAGAATGTTGAATGAAGTACATTACTGCAGTTGTAGTATATGGTAACGTAAACCCCCGTTAGAGGAGGCCCACTAAGCAGCATTGGCCCGCTCTCACGCTCAGCATAGTTTTCCACACCCACCTATATACACCGTCCTACTTCTTCTCTGACGCTCACAAACACGTCATAATAATAATAATAATAACAATGTTTTTTCATATTAGCATACAGCAGCCATCCGAAAATGGATATACACGTCAGTTATAAAAAAAGTATGCAGCATAGGCAAAGACGTTTAAAATTATGATTTACACATAAGATAATGAGAATTACAATTACAATTTAAGATTTACACCTAGGATAAAACGAAAAACATTTACACATATAGTGAATAGAATAAAATCTACATATGAGGTAAATAGAAATGACAATTTGAGAAAAAGAACACCAAATGACAATTTGGAGTGTACACATCACTACCAATTTAATACACTATGCCGTTATAGCAAGCTAGATTCATAGTACTCATTTATGTTATAATAAGCGCCCTGAGTCAATATGCGCTTTATGGACGATTTGAACTTGGTAAAATTCATTTCTCTGATTTCTTGAGGTAAATGATTGTAGAGTTTCATCCCCAAATAGTCCGGGGATTTTTCAGTACGAGATAGATTGTGTCTAGTGATATCAAAATCATGAGCATTCCTGGTAGAATATCTATGATAATCAGAATGTTTTGAAAACTTTTGTTTTAAAATATTAATATTAAAATTCTGTGTGTCATGTGTAGGCTTCGTTACTAACTCCATGTGCCACTTCATGAGCAGCACTGTTAATTGGAACGCAACTGATGCTCCGAAATTTCACATTATTTAATTCGTAAATTAAATATAGAAAAAAGTTTCTTGCTGTGGCTGGGAATCGAACCCACGATCTCATCGATTATAGAAAAAGAAGGGGGCACAATAGATCTTTCAGGTCGCAGTGTATTCACTCGTTATACATACAAAACAATTCATCATATCACGAGGGCTATCACCTGTGAAGCATTCTCGGTTGAATTTCGCAACACCCCTCCTATACATTGTTCTATCTGCTGACGTAGTTTGCAGACAGAAAATACTGCATCCAAGAGAAAAAGATGTCGAAGAAAATTATGATACGCTACTCGAATGTTATAGTGTGATTGTACTCATGGAGTTACACTCTGGGCACCAACGCGGTTCTGGATTATCTGAATTTGAGCGCCCTAGGTCGATAAAGTGGTGCAGCAAGCGTTAAACTGAATGTGTGTAATTCAATTGATTTCTCACTTATATCTGGTGGAGTGCCAGTTTGTGCATGAAAACATCAGTGCGTACACCTCGCTCCGTTCTATCTATTACCCTCGAACACGAACTCCCAAGTTGGTGTTCGATGCTATTGCCTACACGTACCTTCGGTCCATAAACCCGTAGTTCACGCCCTTGATACATAAATAACTATCATAATGCTTTCAGTTTACATTTTGTCATGTTCCAGCCTTTTGAAATATTTGAGAGTATCGAAACTGAGCCTTTGGGAACTGCTTCACTAGCCCAAGTTCATAAAGCAAAACTAAAAGACGGTTCCACAGTAGCTATAAAAGTGCAGCATCCCTATGTACAGGGTAATTCAAGAGTTGACATGAAGACTATGGAATACTTGGTGAAAATGATGAGTTGGGTGTTTCCTGAATTCAAATTCCAATGGTTGGTAGACGAATCCAAGAAAAATATTCCCAGAGAATTGGACTTTGCTCAAGAAGGGCATAATGCTGAGAAAATAGCTTCACTCTTTGGGGACGTGGAGTGGTTAAAGGTTCCCAAAGTCAGGTAACAATAGTTTTCATTTTTCATTACTGACCTGAACTTCATACTCCTCATCATATGCTAACGATTCAACAAACACCCAATGATAGTAATTTTCCATGAGAATGATGGCGAATGCTGCAAATTAGCATTCCGTGGGAGTTATACACTATACTTTTCCTACGGCTGTAATAGATAATTTTTCATTTTTTCAATTTTTCGGCTTGTAGCCATCTGATTTTTCCTCGAGTAATGCTCTATCAGACAGAGCTGTCATTGCTTGACATTTGTCAATTTATAGGACGTTACACCTATTCGAGGTAGCCAAGGTCATCATCTGACGTTGGGATATGTCTAACTTTCAATCTAAGTCAAGAGTTACGAATGTTTTTCCGTAGTTTTCATGTCATTGCAACGTCAGATGATGACCTTGACTACCGCGAATTGTCAATCAGATGATGGAATGAAATTGAAGACATACAATGAATGTACAGGGTGATTGTTTGAATTTTACTCAATAGTTAATATTGGTCTCACTGGAACGTTCAAATAGGCGAAAATATAGTATTTTCCATGATCATACAGAAACTAGAACTAAAAATAGCAGAAATGCATCATATACCTAAAATTTTTACATAAAGTAGTATTTTTTAAATGGTACACCCTGTATTTCATTTTCCTAATTGAAAGAGCTCTTATTTCTTCTGATTTCAAATATATATACTGTATTGAGGTTATCTTTGTCGGTTTTAGAAAAATATAGACTCTGAGGCATCTGTAGAACGCCAGAAATCGCAGCATTGTCTTCTGACACTCTACACCTGCCTTAGATTTATACAAAAAAACTATATTTTTTATAAACTGGCGAAATATCTCAATAAAGTATATATGTTTGAAATCAGAAGAAAGACCTCTACCGTTTAGAAAAATGAAGTACAGGGTTTCTTTTAAAAAATACCAGTTTATGAAAAATTTTCAGGTTGGCGATGCTTTTTTGTCTTTTTTAGTGATAGACTCTGAATGCCCATAACAAATACTTCATTTTTGCCCATTAAAACGTTTCTGTAAAACCATAATGAACTGAGATAGCAATTAAGTAAAATATAAACAATCACCCTGTGCATACCTCATTGATTTATCAAAAACAGTGAAACAAGAGCGATTTCGTGTTATAGCCGTGAAAAAATATTAAATTGTTTGACGAGCACAGAATGATAGTGATTTTCAACAAGAATGAAGTTCATTTTAAGCAAAGAAAAAACAATGTTGAGCGATGTAACTTTGGCATCAAGCACGTCATGGAAAATACGATGACAGATTCAGATTTCTTGTGAAAAAGTGCTTTAAGAATGTCCTAGTCAGAAACGTCTAGGTATTTTGATTTTCGCTTGGAAAATAAAAACGAGAATTACAAATATTGAAATTAAAATGTATTTGAGTGATGATTCTATTCAACACGTTAACTGCCCACAATACATTTAAAGTTTTGGTTCATGGGGCCAAACAGGAAACTTAATGTAAATCGATTATTTGGTTGTACTCATGTTATCCATGTATGATACTTATCATACAAAAGGAATTAATAAATTTGAAAATGAAACCCAACGTTTGGGTTTTGGAACCTGAAGTAGTCTAGCCACAAAACCCATATGAGGGTTTCATGCAAACAGTCAAGGTAATGATTGTTTACACTTGATGAATAACAGATAGAAGGAAGAAAAGTAGTCCAACTGAGGATGCCAAAATCAAGATACAAATGTCAACAGTGTGAGCGTTTTTTTGTTTGCCATTTTTTTAAAGGACGAAGCGTGACAAAATGTGGATGAATTATTATATTCCATTGAAACTATCAGAAAGCTTATTTTATTATGTCTATTTGTATGTGTGTTCGTTTATCGAATACTTGAATAGATCAACTTTTTGATACTATAATTTTCTTACTTTCATATCCGCAAAATAAAAACAAAAACACGTAGGCTCATTCTCTATTTAGGTCTACCGGGCCCCTCGTAATATCGCTCAATCTATATGCTTTAATGCTTTCAGAAACCCACTCTTGGAACTTCATCAAATGAAGTGCAAATGTATCGTGAGAGCCTGCGTTAGGGTTTCGGAGCCGATTTAACCAAGCAAGCATGTGAAACCCAACGTTTGGGCTTCTTGGCAGTTGACGTGTTAAAAAATAAAAAATAAATAGTCCACCCGCCTATTAGGGATACCTACCTTCTATTATTTTTTCTAAAATTCTTCACAACCCAGATACAGGTATCAAAATTATTAGTATTATATATTATTATTATTAGATTATTTATTTTGATATTTATATTTGTATAATCACTATGTTCCTTCCTATAAACAAATGTCGCTTGGAAATAATAACGTTCATTGATTATTTGAAGTTACAGGTATATTTCCGTGAGAGGATTAGTTTGCATGATAAACACATCATAATATCATTCCGATCGACATACAGGGTACGAACTGAGTAGGGTTGCTGAAAAATATACATATATTATGTCGAGTCTTTAATGAAGGAAGTTTCGGTTTCATTCATTCATTAACTCAACTTGAGCTGCTGTAGTACAGAGTGCCACACTGTTTCACACTTGGATGTAACGCATCACTCATATGATCACATGATGATAATTTAAAATATATCAAGTTGATTCCAACAGGCTCTGATTTTTAGGTGGGATCTAACAACTCCAAGAGTTCTTACCATGGATTTTGTTGAAGGGGGACAAGTTAATGATTTAGATTACATTCGGGAACACAACATCAATCCTAAAGAAGTTTCTGATAAGTTGGGAAAATTATACTCTAGGATGATTTTCATACATGGTTTTGTACACAGTGACCCTCATCCTGGAAATATCCTTGTGAATAAATCCGATAATGGATACTGTAATATTGTACTTCTTGATCACGGATTGTATGCAGTGAGTTTTTTTAAAGTTCCACTCACATTGTAGATTAAATATTTCCAATTTTTCAGGATTTAAAAGACGAATTCAGAGTAGAGTATGCTAATTTATGGTTGAGTATTTTGAATAGAGATCGCAGGGCTATGAGGCAACACAGTAAAAATTTGGGTATAGATGGTGATGCATACGGATTATTTGCGTGTATGGTGACAGGAAGAACATGGGATAGCATCACAAGAGGAATTGATAAGTAAGTTAGTTGATCTACCTCTGTAATATACTCTTTACCAAAACTTGTTTGTCTATAGAAAGGCAATTAAAGCTTTGGAATTCTTCGGCAAAAAAAGTATTTCCAAGAACTCATAAACCTTTAAAACTTAGAAAAAAAACTCTTCACCTACCTTCTCCCTATCCACTCTAGGTACGCACGATGATCCTCGAACGTTATAGTGATTCCCTCTCGTGCACTCCAAGAGATAACAGAAATCTTCTCACATACGCTACTTCGTTTAATAATTCCCTGAACTAGTTTTGAAAAAAGCTGTGTTTATTTATCGGGGCGCCCCGACCTATTCGTGCTATCCATCGGGGCGTGATGCACGCATGCTTATATACCTGCCCCGACTAAAACAATCTTTAAACCCGAGTCCGAATCGTACTCAAATCGCTTTGAGCGCGCTATGAATGGTCCGATTAACGCTTAGAACGCTTGCATATATTCACCGTGAGTTATTATGATTACATCACTCCGCGCGCTCATAGTGCTCACGGTTCAGAGGTGGAACGGTCTGAGCGCTGCTGTCAATACTGTCACTACTGTCACTTGAAACTTCAAAAAGTAAACATGGGGAAAATGTCCTGGATATAAGTACTGTTATACAGAATACAGAGACAACTCTCTCTACATAATTTTCGATAGGAGGTATTAAAATCAATTAATCTCTATATTTAAATTGAACTAAGGCGATATTATACAACTGCTGCATCAGCTTTCTTATCATCAGTGATTGACGAAGAAATATTATTTCCATAAAGCTATCGTCATGATTGTGTCAATAATGAGAAAAATGTTTACCGAAGTTTCTCCATTTTTCCATGAACTATAATTTTTGTTGGTCAAGAAATCAATTTTCATGTGAGGTAATGTAACGGATTCCATAAGTGTTACTAGCGCGCTCAAAAAAATAAGCTCAATTCGGGCCGCGAGGGTCTAAACATCGGTGCGCTCCGACATGAGGTATGTACGGGGTAATTGTGTATATTTCACTCAATAGCTATCTCAGTTAATATAAATGTTGAAAGGGGTAAATATGGAGTATGTTTCATGGCCATTCAGAATTCAGTGGTCGAAAAAGCAAAAAAACGTTAATCCAGTAACCTTGTTATCAAAAATAGGTCCACCTTACATGGTTTAGGGTAGTAGGATTCTTTTTTAATATTGTTTGAGATAGTGGCCAGCGTAGCCTTGTGGTAGGAGTTTCAGTTTCTATCCACGTTGGATTACCGGTAGGTGGGTTTAATTCCCACCACGACCGCAGAAATTTTTCTGATCTGAAGAAAGTGTTTGTGATCACACGTTAAAAGGTAAGACCCCCGTCATTCCTTGCTCGCACAAGTCTCTGTAAAACTTTTGAGGGTTGCTTGTTAGGGGGCAACCGAATGATGGATAAGAACAATTTTTAGTACAAATATCTCAAATCCAATTTTTCGACGTCGGCGACCTTCCGAATTACCGCCATATATAACGAACGTCTGAACGGCTAAGAATTTTCACTTTTCTCAGATTACACAATTTTTCACCATAAATGAGTACTTTTGAAATTTCTTAAATATCGAGCTTAATGTGATCACATTGAAATAAACATCTGGTGCGCTCACCCTTCAATTGTTTCGTAAGACTGGTTCTTGATATATTCACATATTGAATGGTAGAAGGCTTGATTCCCAATGCGAGTCAAGGTAGGCAAATCTGATTATCAACAATAGTTCTACCAACCTTGATGTGGCTAAATCGCAAAATGTACCCCATTTCCGCATTGATCACAATTTAGTCACGATTCTCACATTTCAAATTGAGTCACGCGATATTCAATTTGAAATTATTTCAAAACTTGATCTTTCCGGTGAAAAAATCCAGTGTATCAATTGAAACATCGTTGTTTTTATAGTGAATTAATATTCGTTGAAATATAGTTATAGTTCATGAGAAGTTGTATTTCCTGTCCTGTTAATTTATTGTTTCATTTGTGTATAAGTACTATCTGTTTTTCCGCAATATGGACTGGTCTTCCTGCAATATGTGCGGATTATTCAAAAATCCTGATACCCGAATGTTTTCTGTAGCAAAGGTGAGAACAAATATTCAATTTTACTCATTTATATAGTTAATCGTTTATGTACTTCGAAGTCACGAATTCTTTCACAGATTTATAATTTGAATACGATTTGCTCATGTTAAAAGGTTATTTGTAGGTATGTTGGTATCCCAAAGGGTACATTTTATTGAATACCATCAGGGTGACCACATTTAGATATCCATCAAAGGTGATACACTCGAATTTCAGCGGATTTCAACACTATTTATTATTATTTTCACTTATAATTACACGAGAGCTTCTTTTTGTCAAAGTAAACTTGACATGTATCAATAAGAATTTTGTTGCCTGGCAATTTGACGACAAAAACTGCCTCTGAAAAGATTAAAAGAGTCCGTTGGACAAGTAATTTTTTCTGTCAGTTTGTTGAGTTGAATTACCTAATGGCAACAAAATTCGAATTATAAATGCCAAGCTTACTTCGACTGAAAAAAAAAAGCTGGAGTGTGATTCGGTAAAACAATTTAATTCATCAAACATTTTGTTTATGGCTGGTTGTCATGCTTTCAAGAGTAAGGTTCCGTTATTGTCGCTTCAAAAGTTAGGGCAAACTTTTTTCGCTGTCATAATGACAAAATCACGCGGCTTGTGGGATTTTTCATGCATGAATTGGATTGTCACAAATATAAAACCCAGAAACATTTGTTATTTTCAGAATTGGGGGAGGTTTTGAATTTCGAAGTAGAGGTATCTATAATTTTCCTCCAATTATGTTCCGACTTGGTAGATAATCGATTCTAGAGTGCCTCGAACATCTCACTTTACGCTCTTTAAATGTGGACACACTTGTCACCTTGTTAAACAGCAAAACAAAAAACATGAGACACAAATATAATTTATAAGAGAAGGAATGCCATTTTTCTGTACCATGCCATTGACCGAGTGCAGACATATTATTTGTTGATGTATGACAAATTGATATTTCTCATACAGGACGTAGAAAAAAATCAGAATTGAGAACACCTAATCATGAATCTGCGATAAAAGATTTGAAAAAATAACAAGTCTTCATCGTCCAAGTTGATACCCTTGATTGGGTGAATGTGTTGAAAAGGAATATTCTCAGATGAATTATGAACAGTGTCAATCTTCTCATGAAGATGTTAACATAGGTAGTTAGCGAAACACGTGTGGAGGTGTAAAAAATCGGTTTGGTTAGTGGTAAAACAGTGTGTAGTGTATTATTGTGCCGAAGGTTCCAGTCTTCGATAAATCCTCATTCAAATATAATTTGGTTGTTCCTATACTACCTATTTCTGCCAAATCTTTCACTATATTCGCTCTTTTGAATGTGCAAACAATATTTTTAATAGAATATACAAATATTTCTCGTCCTTCACCTACTGCCATATAGTATATCAGAAAAGTTTAGACAAACAGTCTGAATTATAATTCTTGACAGTTATGTAATCCGCTGTTGACGGCGATTACGCGAGCATGACATATCCATACTGGCGGAATAAACGAGAACTGTGCGATGTGCTTACTGTGCGTAAAGATCTACTTACTGAGGCTGTATCTCGTGTGTTCCTGCCTGCTTCTATAGTGGCCTTAGATAAAATACTTTACATAAAAGCTTCATTAATTTAATCCATTTATCCTTTCCTAGTGTGGTTCCAGATTCCTCTCCATTCAGTATCCCCCAGATTTTTTATTTGTTTTTTCTATGCTATATTGATTATTGTATGAGATTGTTACATAGACATAAGATATAACAGATGTAATTGTATACTCAGGACTTGTCTTGTATTACATATCTTCATAAATAAATAAATAGTTGCATCCTAATAAAAATCAAGAGCCCTAAGAGACAAGCAGATTATGGCAATACCATGCCCCAGTACTTTTTAAAGGTTAATTAATCATTTCTTGAAAAAAGTTATTATAATTTCTTCGGTGAATCTACAAAATTATCCAGATGATGGAACATGAATCAAAATTAATGTGGAATAAATAGTATTCTAATGAATAATATAGTAGGAATGAAAATTTACAATTGTTCAAAAATCAATTAACAAACATTTGAAAACAAACTAAATGCAAAAGAAACAAAACAATAAAAGATACTACTATAAATTTGTACAGAGTGGGCCATTGAAAACGAAACAGCAGCTCTGTAGGTCGGCAAAACCGGATTATGAAAAAAATCTGAAACACGTCAACTACATTTTCGAGGGGAACATCGTTCTAAAATATTTTTATCTGCGGCGTTGCCGAACGATGTCCCTCTCAAAAATGTAGTTGACATGTTTCAGATTTTTTTCATAATCGGGTTTTGCCGACCTACAGAGCTGCTGTCTCGTTTTCAATGGCCCACTCAGTATACATATTCACAAACAAATTGTAATCAAACTCTTATGAGGAAAATGCTCAACAAAAAACAAATAAACAAAATATATTCTACTTGAGTAACAAAATGCTTATTATAATAATTAAATTAAATAAAGCTACATCTATGAACATAATTGCTCCATAATTGCTCATTTGATTGAAAAAATACAATGAAAATATTATCAGTTGAGAAATAAACGAATGGAAATCGAAGTGAGTAGGGTAAAAGTGGAGATAATGACTTAAATAAATCATAAAAGTTGAGATTCCTGGTTGTCCAAAAATATTTGAATCAGTGAGATTTATTGTTAACAGGTACATTAGAGATATTGATGGAACCTTTGGATTCAAAAAGGAAGTATTTGCACTTCTAAAAGAAAAAACTTGTCATACGGAAGAATGGCAAAAGCACGGGTGTTTGTTGGTAGATGAATGCAAAATCTATCCTACCTAGAAATTTGACGAAAACAGCATGGAATTTGTGGTATTTGTGGACCTAGGGGAAAATTCACTCCGAAAAGTATGGAAGATCAGCCATTCAGCT